AACCGGCTTTCGATACCCGTGATGGGCAGAGCACAGATAGCCCATTGTGTAGCTTTGTGCTTAATTTCAAAACAATAACAATTAACATTTTCTTATTTATCATATATTTTTTATGTCTTATTAGCAGTTTCTACCTTCTCATAGCTTGACGCAGATAGCGAATGATAGTTTCAGATGCGATTGTGTGTGATTGAGAACCCATATCTGTTCTTTACATTTATAATTTTTTGAAACGTAAGACCCACTAATAAATATTAAATCTAATGACATTGTACTTCTACACTCATAGGAGTCTAATTCAGAGGCGTAGCTGTCACTATAGTGTGTGGACCTTTTCTTTTACATAAAGAATTTATGTGATTTACACGATAATCAAGTGTTTATTTGAAAAATGATAAGATAACGAACTTTTATACTTCGTAAAATATTGGGTTGGTCGCTTGATCGCCCATCCTGGCTACGCCCCTGATCTAATATCTGTAGATATTTATCTCTTTTTGCTTAAGAAGTTTTATTCTTTAGTTATTTTTGTCTATCTTTTTTTATATGCGTCACTTTCTTTCTTTTTGTCTTAACTGTCTGAAAAGTTGCTTAATGTAAATTTAAATTTAACATACATTTCGCAATTATATCATCAGGATAAAATGTTTAAAATATAAATTCTAAAATTGATGAGTGTTTTTGTTACAATGATTGAAATTTAGAGATACTGTTTAATTTTCAAATGAATCATTCCTATCTAGAAAAGAACAATATAAACAACCTATACTTATAAATCTGTATGGCTATTTAAACATCCATATATATATATATATATATATATATATAAACATCTCTTGAATGTTCCAAACTAAATAAATAAAGACAAAACTATTCATAGAATACGAGAAAAATTGGTATCGCCATGGTGATCAGTTTTTAATTACGTAACAGAACTCTGGTTTATAAACATATTTTTCATGTTTTAAAAATTCTACTGATTCTTCATCGTATGTACTTTAGATGTGGTAATAAAAACAACCCTCGCATCTAACTGCATACTCTCTTTCAAGCAGACGGAGTATTGGAACACAGTTGGAGACAGATGTGTCTGTGATTCCATACACGTGGTCTAAAAGGCGCCAATGTTCTTATGTTGGCATTTTTCACTTCGCGTGACTTTATCTTTTACTGGTTATTTTAGTAGCAATAATCCATTCAACTAAGAAAAAAATAATTTTGTCTAATTAGAACAGGCTGATATAGCCATATAATAGCCATGTAATAGATTAACAGCGTTTTCAGACTACAGTTTCTCCAGATATAGATAGGGTTTCTGAAACTATTGTAAACATTCTATAAACACAGCAAACATACAGATAAAATAAGTAATCTGAGAAGAATGTCAGAAATATTTTTTTTTCACATTTGTACCAAAATCGGAAGCACGAATTGAGATCCGATAAAATCCATTATAAAGCATACTTGTTAATGTTATGTTTTTGTAAAAGAGTTATTAAATAATCTTTGAATAATGAATAACGAGCGTTATTCTTTTGATTTTTGTGTTAAACTGGACTAACTGATAAATATAATGCATAATAATTCCTTAATTGTTTTTTCGTGAAGCAGTTTCTAACATTTAACAAACTTTTTGTTGTTGTTGTTGTTACAATAGGTTATGAATCGACACAAAACCAACGCAGGTAACTTTAAATACCTCTTTGAATAATCCCTATTTTAAAATTTATATTTTTGGAAGAAGAATACAAGACTGATGATAAAAAAATTCTAACTTAGAAATAAATTAATTATTCAAACGTATTTAATGATAAGACCTAAAAGAGTTTGGAGTGAAAGAAATATATTAGTATTGGCTTGGCTTAGGGCCTACCATGGTGTGGTGGCTAGAGCACTCCATTTGCAATCTGTCCTAGGTTAGAATTCCGTTACCGAGCATACTTAACTTTACAGCCGTGTAGGCGTTATAATGTGGCGGTCAATCTCACTATTCACTGATAAAAGATTAGCCCATCACTTGACGATGGATGATGTTGACTAGCTGCCTTCCCTTTAGTCTATCACTTGAAAATTAGGGACGGCTAGTGCGGATAGCCCTCAGTAGCCTTACACAAAATTCAAGAAATAAACAACTAAGCCATGGCTTGCTTGGTTTTCATATAATGATTTCTGGTCAACTAAAACAATGCTACTGGCAAGTATGGTATTTTAACACGTTGTCAACAAAATAAAATGTGTGAAAATGTGCAACTAACGTGAAAAAAAGTTGACAACTAAAGTGTGTTAATAATTTTTAAAAATTAAACTACATGAATCCCATACTGAAGTTCAACAGGCGTAAATCCATACACACACCTTCGTTTACAAGATTGTACGTAAAGATTTATTTCATGTATAACCAACAACGAAGAGTTGACAACTAAAGTGTGTTAATAGTTTTTAAAAATTAATCTACATGAATCCCATACTGAAGTTCAACAGACCTAAATCCGTACACACACCTTCATCTACAAGATTGTACGTAAACATTTATTTCACGTATAACCAACAACTTAGTTTCGTGCGTGTGTGTGTGTAAAAGTGGCCCTACTGGTTTTGCAAACATCTGTACCAATTACACTATAAAAATGCACGACAAATGTCTGAAAAATTTCGCCTCAAACATTTTTTACATAAGAACAAAGTTTGTATTTTTTTTCCTTTTGAAACGATAACCTAGATAAAATAGTTTAACATGCTTTGACTATCCAAGCGGAATATAACTTAGCTGGAAGGAAAAAATGGTGTAAGACAGCATTTCCAAAAGTGCTGGGCGCTCCTCAGAGGGTGCAGAATGATCTCTTTAGGGGGGTGTGAACGATTAGAGTAGAGCCAATAGTACAATAATGCAAAAATTAAGCGTTTAAATATAGTTTTCATAAAATAACACATATAGCATTTGAACCCACTTCCATGTATTATATTTCGTCACTTAACTCTTTCGTTCATTTAAAAAGCGAGAGGGTCGCGCAAAAAAACATATTAATCAAATGTGGGGCGTGGATGACAAAAGTTTGAGCAACGATGAATTTTAATAGCTGTATTTGGCCTCCCAGTGGCACAGCGCAATGTCTGCGGACTTACAACGCTATAAACCAAATTTCGATACCTGTGGTGGGCAGAGCGTAGATAGGCCATTGTGTAGCTTTGTGCTTAACTTCAAACAAACAAAAGCTATATTTGTGGCAAAACCACAGTTATCTGTCACCTAACCTAATTTTGAACTAGTGACCAAAGGGAAGGTTTCAAGTCAGCAGCGCCATCAACCCTAAAAGATTAATTGTCAATCTTATAACGCCCTCAGTGCTGGTGGTATCGCCAGCTCCGAAATAAAGAGCGCCACTACAGAGCCAGCTAAAGTAAGGTATTCTTGAGACGATTTATTGCAGACAGTCAAATTCTTTTATGTAACTATTTAATTATTGCATACAAACTTCATTCAAACAATCGCGAAACAATTTTGTGTTATAACTGCTGTCTAATAAAGAACTTAACGGATGGCATACTCAATATTCCAATTATAAGAGATACTGGTTTGTTTTATCCCATTAGTAGGTCGTTGGCCCGGCATGGCCAGGTGGTTAGGGCACTCGATTCGCAATCTGTAGGCCGCGGGTTCGAATCCCCGTTACACCAAAACATGCTCATCCGGAGAAACACCATACGAAACTACTACATTTTTACAGGTCGTTTTTACATGTCTTAAACGGGAGAAACACTACTCATTCTACAATATTATACAAATTTATATAACATATATTATTTTAAACATTACTTAATCATAAAGAACTTTAATATTTCAATAACATTTTTGTAAAACTGCATGAGGGACAAACGTTGATAGGAAGTACCTCGAAGCCTTTCCTCTGAGGTGAATCAAAAAAATAGAATTTAGTCTGGCATACTTAGATTACAAATACGTGAAAACTTCAAATATATTGTATTCTCTGGATAGATCACTCTATAAGCTACGATTTCTAATTCGACCTAATATCTTAAATATTATAACCTGAAAATCAGACTATGGAAACTGTAATTTTTTTTTGTTTTTAGAATCTAAGACACGAGCGCCACAAACTTCAACATTCGTTTTCATCTGAAAATGAAACTTGGGGAACAAATATTTCGTCGGAGGAGTCTGGTCCGTGGAGTAACTGGACAGATAGCAATGGATGTTCCAGAACATGTGGCGGAGGAATATCAGTTCTGACAAGAAAGTGCCTAAAAAATAGGTGAGACGTCCATATAAATTTTTATTTATCTATATTGTATACATTACATTTCTTTTTTTTTCTTGTAAATTTTGTTCATTTTATACTTTTGTATTTAGGAGCTAACGAACTCCGTTCTTTTCTGAAAGAATAAGATTTCATATACAACTCTGTATTACGACACAACTGGAGCTAAAACGTTAGTTTATATTAAAAAAAATGTGATACTATAGGACAAAGGCTAATAGGCTATTGCTGTTCAGGAAATTAAGTCACGAACGGCATACGCTATGAACTATAAGAGGTGTTAGGCTTTTTGTACGATGTGAAATTAATGTTTATTGAGCAATCAACTATTTTTAGTCACTTCCTATTTTACAAACAGCCCGAGACAACAGCATTACGCTATTATATACGTGTACGTGTGTGTGTGAATGTGAGACTATCTAATAACAACAGCATTACGCTATTACATACGTGTACGTGTGTGTGTGTGAATGTGAGACTATCTAATAACAACAGCATTACGCTATTACATACGTGTACGTGTGTGTGTGAATGTGTGGCTATCTAATCTTTGAAGTTAGAGTGACCTTTGGATTATATTGACTTATAGATCTGATCTCTAACGTAAAGTATTCATGGCTAAGGTTAACATAGTAGGAGAATAGGAGCTCCGATAGAATTATTTTTGAATCCCACTAACGGATCAACAAGTATTTATAAGGGAAGCTGTCATAATTTTAATGCGAAATTACGTTTCATGTCTATGATGTTATCATATCGTTTATTCAAACTGAAACAAGGATGAAGCATCACACTAAGAATTCAAGAACAAATTGTAGTAACATCCCATACTACTGGACATTGGTCTCTACAAATGATTCCCCCATAAATTACACTGTTAAAATAAATCGTATTTTCCAGGAATAAGTAATGTAATGTCACTGAATATTTTAGATCATTTACTTAGGAATAAGTAATGTAATGTCACTGAATATTTTAGATCATTTACTTAGGAATAAGTAATGTAATGTCACTGAATATTTGAGATCATTTACCCAGGAATAAGTAATGTAATGTCACTGAATATTTTAGATCATTTACTTAGGAATAAGTAATGTAATGTCACTGAATATTTTAGATCATTTACTTAGGAGTCACGAAATCTCCTTTAACCAGGTTGAATTTGATCGTTGAAAATATTGTCTTCTGCAGTCGCTATAAAATGGGGTAAGGCCCGGCATGGCCAGGTGGTTAGGGCGCTCGACTCACAATCCGAGGGTCGCGGGTTCGAATCCCCGTCACACCAAACATGCTCTCCCTTTCAGCCGTGGGGGCATTATAATGTGACGGTCAATCCCACTATTCGTTGGTAAAAGAGTAGCCCAAAAGTTGGCGGTGGGTGGCGATGACTAGCTGCCTTCCTTCTAGTCTTACGCTGCTAAACTAGGGACGGCTAGCGCAGATAGCCCTCGTGTAGCTTTGCGCGAAATTCAAAAACAAACAAACAAACAAAATGGGGTAACTTTTCATGTTTAAAAAAATAAATGGAACAACAGAAGTTTTTTGAATAATTTTAGTACTTTTCAAAATATAAAACCACAGACCCATAGTTTACAAAGTTCACATTTTCTACAATTCGACCCAAATCACTCAAAAATAAAAGAAGATACACCGTCATTTTCAACTCAATGTATCGAAAATGTATGATTTTCGAGATTATGAATCCTGCTTGCTTCATTGCCTTTACATTTTCTATTAGAATTGCCCCCCCCCCAGTGGCACAGCGGTATGTCTGCGGACTTACAACGCTAGAAACCGGGTTTCGATACTCGTGGTGGGCAGAGCACAGATAGCCCATGGTGCAGCTTTGTGCTTAATTACAAACAAACAAACTATTATAATTACCCTTTTCCCCCATACTACATTCAAGTAAATGTCCATTATTATGAAGAGTTAGCAACTCTATCCAAGTCGTCCTTTGGTCAGTTAAAATGGCGACAAAATTCGTGTTGTTGCATTGTTATAGAATGCAGTGTGGTGTGAGCAGAATACAAACGTTTCCAAGACAAATAAGATTTAATTAACACAGCAATATACACTCAACTAATTTGCACAAAACTATGTAGATATCTGTGTTAATAGAAATACTTCTTACTTGTTGTGCTCCCCAGTATCACAGCGGTATGTCTGCGGACTTACAACGCTAGAAACCGGTTTTCGATACCCGTGGTGGGCAGAGCACAGATAGCCCATTGTGTAGCTTTGTGCTTAATTACAAACAAACTTACTTGTTGTGTAAATTAGTTTGAAAGAAAATAGAGACATATCAATAAATCCATCAGTCACAACAATAAGATCACATTGATTTCATTAACGAACATATTCTGTCCTATTCTGTAATGACCACCTAGCATTAATAACACATATTGTTCATAACTGGAAGTTCGGTATACTACAAACGTGAACCTTTTATACGTGATATAATGCTTTTATTCAAGCCAGTTATTGATGAACAAGTGTTGAGTTTTGTAAAACGCGAATATACTAAGAATGTGTTACTATCACAACTGTAAATAGTGTATATGAAACCTCTCAATGGTCTGTTATACGATCATCTCACCCACTAGTGTCTGTGTGAACAGTCTCAGCCAAATTATGTAACGCCACCCAGTGGCTGAACGGTTTGTCTACAGACTTATAACGTTAAAACCGCTTTTCGATACTCGTGGTGGGCACAGCATGGATAGCCCATTGTGTAGCTTTGTGCTTTACCACAAGCAAACAAAACAAAATCATGTAAAAATATTGTTGTAGTGTTGTAGTAGCATTAGGATTTTTCAAATTCCCAATGCTACACACAAGACACCACAGACAAAAATATTGTTGTAGTAGCATTAGGATTTTCAAATTCCCAATGCTACACACAAGACACCCGAGACAAAAATATTGTTGTAGTAGCATTAGGATTTTCAAATTCCCAATGCTACACACAAGACACCCCAGACAAAAATATTGATAATGTAGATACATAAAACAAAGAATAAGAAATTAAAGTAAAAGCAAGAATGGGAGTATAACGTTTTTTACTAAGTACAACCCTACTTCATAAGTTAAGGATATTTCATCATTAGCAGTAAAATTTTGCACAATAAAGAGGCATTGTTTGCTCAGTGTTCAAAGAAGTAAAGTATTCACGAATTAGTAGTAAATATTCTATGATAAGTAAATCAATCTAAAATAGGTCAATGGAACAAGAATTAAATATGAATAAGGAGCCTATGAGTTTAGTGAGGATCATAACAAGAGCGCGAAAATACAAATATGTAATGTGCAGAGGCCGCTCGTCACCGGTTGTTTCAAAAATTAACAATGATACAAGGAAACAAAGAGTTTATTCGCGAGATTCGAAGATTGTGAAAAACCTGTTAGAATAGCAGCTAAAAACTGATAAAAGAAATTTAAGGGGAAACGAATAAGACGAACAAAGAAACGGTGAATTGTAGTGATTTAACAACATTATTTTGTTCAGACCCTTTCACCTCCTTCACGTCGAGGGTTTGATCAAGCAGGTATCCTAAGCCAATTACATGAGATATTTCTTTAGTAAGTAAATGACACGCACATTTACCACATTAGTAGTTGTTGCTGTAGTTTTGGTGAAAAAAAGAGTAACGAAGTGAATATACATGTCATTTACTTAAGATGTTTCTTGCCACGATAGATTTTACTAATAGCAAGCACACAAACAACGCACGATGGAAACAGAGTATAACAAATTCCCATTCTTTGACGTCATGGTTACCAAGACACACAAATACGGATAAATACCTCAACTATAAATCAAACTACCCAGTAACGTAAAGACAGGGGTCATAGACTGCCTAGTTTCAGAATGAATAGAATTTGTAATAAAGAAGAAGCTAAGAATAGGGAAGAAAAACATATCACTAGAACCCTCCTTAAAGAACACTTGATAAAGAAGAAAACACATAGGATAAGCGCTAAGATCTCTCTGAAAACGTCCCCCTGTTGATCGGATGTAAGTTTCGAACGTGCAATGCTAAAATCCGAGGCTCTATTCCTCGCTGTAGACAGAATACAGATAGTCTATTGTGTAACTTTGCGCTAAAATTCAACATTCAACCAACTCTCTAAAAACACACACATAAGATATACAAATAACATAAAGTCATAGCAGTATTGGGAAACAAAACACAATACAATCGTAGTTAGTTCACACCATACCACTTAAAGGCCCAGTGGAGAAGAAAAATACCATTTACAACACCACATATGAACTTGGATTCCAATACATTGGATAAATAAAAAGAACAAGAAAAACTAGAATTCAGGAGCATGGCAGATAATATTGATATATCTGGAATAGCCCATCATATTAAAATAATACAATACGAGCCACACATGAAATATAGATAGGTTAAAGATAAGTTCGAAAATCCTGTGAAACCCTCTTGAAAACGGTCTAACAGTTAATTATAAATGGAAGAAACCCTCAATCGAGAAAATAATGCCAGAGACTTCCACCAAGAAGATCCAGGCTCAAATCTCAGCCACTTCAGCACAAAAAATAGTTTTTTTTATGTACTTCTCTAAAATTTGCAGCAGACAGACGAAACGAAGAGAAAACTTATTATTAATATATATAATAATAATTGGACTACGGTGATCGTTAGGACTACCTACCATGACAACGATTACTATATAATTGCCACAACTCTATCGCCAGTAATTCAGAGCGTCATGATGAGAGCTATTATAAAATTGAATACTTAGATAGTAAAGTTATGTTTAATAAAATTTTTGATGAGTGTGTGAATCATTTGTATCAAGTGTTGTCGCATTCTCAAGATTATATATGAGCTGCTAAGTCTGAATATCTACTGTCAGAGACAGAAAGAGTAGGTTGCAATTTCGTTTATTGGACAAATCACAAAAACTTTCTTTGGCTTAGTGAGTTGTTATTGGCAACCCAACAACAAGTTTTTCTGACTTTTGTTTGTTTTTAATTAAGCACAAAGCTACGCAATGGGCTATCTGTGCTCTGCCCACCACTGGTATCGAAACCCGGATTCTAGCGTTATAAGTCCGCAAACATACCGCTTGTGCCACTGGGGGGCGTTCAGGCTTTTTTTTCATCCATAATGGATCTCATTGTGGAAGACAAAGGTGAACAAATGTTTGTGTACACTTTAACGAGCCCCCCCCCAAGGAAGGAATTCACATATCTCATTTAATTAATGTGATCATTCTAATCTTTTTCTTGGAGCTCTACTTAATTAATAGGATGCACTTTTGACACGGTGTTCAGAGGTTCTCAGTGAAATTTTTTGTTTGGCTATTTGTTTTATTAATTTACAATAATTCATTATGGCAGAAAGGAAATCTGTTGTATGGATTATCTTTCCGTTTTTCCACTTGACAATATCCGAGGGCCTAGTAAAAATAATTATGTGTATAGTCTTGAGTTTTTTGTTTTTTTTCACATACCATTAAAATTTGATTGTTACTAAGACTGTCTATGTATCATTGAAAAAATGCTCTTTATCCAAAATTATTTTTTGGTTTACTTGAAATATCTGTATTTGTCATTCTTCAAGATATTTATATCGAGTTTCAAAGTCAAATAACGAATACCACTGGGTTTTTGGAAGTTAGGATTTGTGTTATATGTGCTGCCATCTAGTGTGTAATAATAGAAATGCTACTTAATTATAACCTGTGGAGCCGGATTTTGATTGAATAAAGGTTTCCACAAGTAATCCTTAGTCAATCGTGCATCGAGTAAAAACAAGAAGAAATACTATAGTACCCCAAAATTACTTCCAAATATCATACTGACAGAATGGACTTTTCTTTATTTTTGTATTGTGTATTGAATATCATCAAGTTGTTTCTTGCAAGTGCTGTCACTATGTTTCAGGTTTCACTTTCTCCTGCTGTTGTAAATTAGAAACAAAAGTTAGGCATAGTTCTTTATGATCGTTAACATCACACAACAACACGTCGTTCAGATATACATGTATGTACATTGCCTACATCCCGGTTTATGTACTACTGTTGTTTTCTCTCTAAATCATCAACCTCACGCTAAGTTCTCTGTGACGTCATAACCATGACTGATTGTTTACAGCTGTGCGAATACATTAGGGATCGCTTCGTGTGATGTTAAAATGTTGACCTCTAAAACAAAACCATGTGTTATTTTGTTGTAAAACATATAAGACACATTTGGTAAGTCTCCTACTGTATCCTGAGTAATCAACTTTCTTTGATCCTACTCAGGACAGGAGAAAGAAAAAATATCTTATTCAAAACACTCTGCATATAATAAATGACATCCAAAATTTGATTTCGAAATACTCCAGTGTTTGATGGATACATTTATAATATTTAATGAGCAAAGATTTCAAACAAATTGGGAAAAATTATCACATCAGTCGAGTTCTTAAACATTTAGGCCAGTAGGTATTTTTAACCTGTAACACAGGAGCAAACACAAACAGATTTGGCTTTTATAGATAAACTGATTGATGATGTATTTTAAAAACTAGCCAATTTTAAAATATTCGTAATAATGGAAAATACGTAGAATAAAAAATTGGCAAATCTCACAAAAAATACACGATAAAACTTTAAAGTTTTTACAAGTGTACCTACCTTCTTCATGGGTAAAAATTACCTCCGAAGAAGACAGGTCCTTCTTTCGAAAACTTTAGGGACTTGTCCTTTTTTATGTAATCTAAAATAAATATAGATTACTTTTCTTAGATAAAACTTGCAACCACAGTTCACAAAGTCTTACTAATACTTTATTTTATAAAGTAGAGACAGCTGATATGGATATTCAAAACTGTTATTTAAAAACACAAAACAAGTAACAACGTTTTGATCTCCTTAGGTCATCGTCTGGTTAAGTATGAGATTTGAAAAAGTGACCGTTATTGATCACGAGTTGTGGAGACGACAGTAATGATAGGTGTAAGATTGTAGAGGGTGTTGTAAATATTCAATTTATTATATATAGTAGTTAACATTAAGGAATAACTAGCATTGGTATAAAAGTGTTCCTTTGGTGTTGGTTCAATGAACTTCTTGTATTTGAAGAGCTTCATTAATTTTCCGTTTGTCTACTTTGGTTTCTTTGCTTAGTTTGGTTATTTGAAATACGATGTTCCAAAACATTGGATGGTGATTTTTTATGTTCATTGAACCAGATTTCCAGTTTTCGGCTATCACCTTACATCACATCTTATACCTCATAGTCGAAAGCATGTTTTATTGGGTTAACTATAACCTTTTTATTTTACACCTTTGACAAAATAAACCTAATTTTCAATTTATTATTTATTTTTATTTCATTCATTAATATTCACATCTAGAAATACATAAATGTTCAAAAATCTAGAAAATAAGCTTTCAATCATGATAAGCATATTGTGCTTCGGGTATCAGGATATATTTTTATTCTAGATATGTATACCACATCTTGAAAATCATACAAGTATTCAACCAATGTCATTGAGATCCCAGTTATGATCTCTTTGTTTAGGTAGCAAAATTATATTTATGCTTTTTCAAAAACAAATATTTCATGGGGCTTTTTTTAGATAAAGCTTACTGTCATATTTCACAAACGTTTTTCTGGCAGTTCCTTACTGATAATTATACTTTATGTACCTTGTATGTCAAATTTACTTTCAAAAGTTCCAGTAATAGAAAAATTATTAACCACTGATTTGATCTAGATATAGTTTTCTTCACTTCCGGTAGGATATCATCTATTATATACAGGATGAAACAAAAGTACCATTTCCTTGTGAAAAACTACAGTATTCAATATGTGTTGGGCAGCTCAAAATCTAATACTATCCAAGTGATGTCGTTTGACAACCAGGCATTATTTTGTATTCATTGTGTGAAAGTATCCTGTTAACTAAATCACTGAAAACGTCAGCTGGTAAAGATCTACTGAATTAGGTTTTAAGAAGTCATATTGTTAATTTTATTGGAAAAAATTGAGAGTTATCGTAAATAAGCCACGAAAGTGAAACTTAAAATACTTTGAAATTTAGGCCTAGTCCGTAGTTAATGATGTTATTTCATTTTCTTGTGACGTAGTTATGGGGAAGCGTTTTTTTAAATTAATTTTTTAGTCCAGAATGTAACGTTTTAATATTACAATGTAATCTCAGTCGCCATTCCACATATGTTTCAAGTCCTGTACTTTACGTTTTAACCTTGGTATTCCATTATGTTTTTCTTAACTGTGATAATAACGATATATAATGTTTATTGTCCTTACTCTTACTTCAGCGTACTTATAGTTCATCATATTAGATCAAATTAGATATTTTAGCTCTGCAACTAAAATTCTATTTCATTTACAAACAACAGATACAATAAGGTGCCTCACTTAGACTGGTAATATTACTATTTTTTTTTTTGTATGTGTGTGTTTCTGCACTTCATAATGGTTGTTTTTGGCATCGCACCAAAGAGGTTTTCCTTTTTTCCACACTTCAAGGTTTTGTTGTAAAGTATTTATCTGACCCAAACGTTTCGAATTATAATAAGATAAATCACATATTGGTTATTTGTAACAAATGTTGGATTTCTCAGATTAATTCCACGTAAGCCTGTCTCAATTTCTCCCTGCAGGGTATTTCACAGTCATGTTTGTTGACTGCTATGTTTAGGCTTTGGATATCTCTTTGGTTGCTGAAGCAAAATAAGATATCCTCTTCACCAAAGAAAGAGAAAAAGGTTTGTGTTCATACCCACACTTTTAAGTCAGACTAAAGATCTCGTGGAGTATCCCACAGTCATGAATTACCTACGTCAGTAACCATTCGCATTACATACTCAAGAGAAGATTAACTCTCAGCTAATACTAACACGCTCAAACATGTGCATTACCCCTTCACCTTTATATGACCCACATCTCAAGGAAGCAGTGATAAAGAATCTTGGGCTAACAAGTACAGGATTTCTTGAATATAACCTTCGAGTGAAGCAATAATTCCAGCAAGTTTATGACTCCCATATCCTATTTACAATGACGTTAGCCAAGTGCAAAACACTTTCGTGACGACGTTTTGTAATATAATCCTCAATATATAATTGAATAAAGATATATTTAATTGTATGTATGGAAGGGTAAAAACCTGACCGTTTTATTGTCACAGAATAGCTTTAGAAACGTTCATTACGTCTTTAATAAACGTTCATGATAGTTATACTTGCTGCCATTTCATTTTTAACTACATGTTTTTCTTTAATTTAGAAACAATACCAGGCCTTGTACTGGACCTTCGAAGATGTACATATCATGTAATGTTCAGGTGAGATGAGTTTTATTTCTTTTTCTTTATTGACTATCTTATTCCGCACAAAAATATACAGCCTCTGTATAATGTTGTGTCTTTATTGTTTCCTTACTATATATTAAAGCATCTCAAAAGGGATGATATTTAACATAAAACAAATACACATAAATTTTATCGTAAATAAATTGGCCCAACCTACTGGAAGCACTTAGCAGTGCCTTTGAAGAGATCAAAATCATGACATAAAAGTAATATAATGATGAATTTCTTATTGCCCCCCAAAATATTATAAACACAAAAACAAGTAGACATGCTTAAGTTCGTTCTTAATACTTGCTGAGACTAGCTGAAACAGCTGTTTTACATTTCAGCGATGTTAGAATAATTATTTTGTACCTAATATGATTTGGATGAAATTTCATGGTGTTTATACTTATTTCAAGTACTAGCTTCTAAATTAAGATGGTGCAACGAGGACTTTTAGTCCCAAGCTCATATACTTCAACAGCTTAAGTTGCTAATCTTTTACATTTTGTCGTCCCTTTTTAAACTTTGGTAACTAAACTCTTGTATCTTCTATTGTGGAAGATATGGATATCCATTATTGGCAGTTGGTGTGAAGGCTTAAAACATAGCGGATAAAATAATATCTAATCTGTCGTGTTCGATAAATTTCATTTTATGAAATTAGGCATATTAATGGAAAATGTACATTCATCAAATAATGCATTCTAGATTCCTTTAGCTTTATTCCACTTTTGGAAATCTTACAATTTTCGTAGTTATTTCATAGGAAGTATAGTTAGTTAGTCCAAATAGAATATATTTTATTTTTTGTTCTGTACTAAAGTTTCAGAAATTTCTGGGACAAAAAAGAGATGATTAGCTATTGATTTGATGCAAGTTGCTCGTGGAAGTAAATAGGAATTACATACATTGAAAAAGAACAGTTGAAAATGATTTTGCGGTATCCAAGATTAGTGTGCTTCTCCAGTCTTTCCACTCCACCCCACCCTCTTAGTATAATGTTTCTATTTACACTTTCGAACACATTTCCATGGGTTTAAATAGTTAAACGTCCAAGTGTAAATGTTATAAGAATGCATAGATTAATTTTATATACTTCTAAGTAGTAATATATCATTTATAACACTTTATATATCTTCTCAAGGCAAATTAAGAATATTTTTTGTGGGTATTGAATGCAAACCGCTTGAATGTGGTTAGGACGATGGTTTTTTTATACCCATGGGTACCATATAGTGTGATCATGATGTTATCATAACACATCACGTAACTGTGTACGTTGCTTTCCGCATCGTTAAATTGGTCTATACACCGAGTTTCACAATACTGAGCGCGGCCAAATAGTTAGCGTATTAGCTCCAAGGTTCCGTGTTCGCGCCTCGTCACTGACATAATAAAAAATCGTACTCTGTCATTTGAGGCCGAGGGTGCATTATAAGAGTGTGATCAAATCCAACTATTCGATTATTACAGTAGCTCATGAGTTGATGGTGGGTGGTGTTAACTAGCTATCTCCACTTTCGCTTTAAAAGTAGCTTGGCGCGAAATTCAACTAATCACAACATAGTAATAAATCGGTTTACGTCACAAGCACAAAATCAGGAAACAAACAAAACACGAATAAAGAGCACTTTGTTGCCAAAACCCACATCTCATGCAACAATAACACACACACCCAAACTCAAGACACACCAAAACAAACGAAGAACACACAAACGTTCAAACACAACAAAATAGAACAATAAGCAAAATAACGGAAGCAACCAAAAATATATTTTATGAATTTCTAGCTCAATACAGAAACCAAAACCACGATGACAACAGCACACTAATTATTAAAATAATTATAGAACATCTAACACCATTTCTACCACAGATCATACAGTTACTCGTACTACCACTAACATTACATAACATAACTTCATAACCTGACAACATAAAATGGACATAGCCCTGAAAAGGAAAGTAGCAACATAAAAAGCAAAACAAATCCAACCAGCTTACCTAATAACCAAACAAAAGACCAACAATTAACAATAGTTCAGGAGGGGGGAAGACATCGAACTAGCACCTGACCCTCCCTGGTCTCAACGAACTTAACAGCAAGAAACAAACAACTAACTTTGACTTTCCATACTAAACCTTCTGCTCGTTATACTGTTCCAAATCAACGTTGAATCGTCTTTTCTAAGACAAATATATTTGGCCCGGCATGGCCAGGTGGTTAGGGCGCTCGACTCGCAATTTAAGGGTCGCGCGTTCCAATCCTCGTCCCACCAAACATGCTCGCCCTTTCAGCCGCGGGGGCGTAATAATGTGACGGTCAATCCCACTATTCGTTGGTAAAAGAGTAGCCCAAGAGTTGGTGATGAGTGGTTATGACTAGCTGCCTTCCATTTAGCCTTACACTGCTAAATTAATGACGGCTAGCTCAGATAGCCCTCGTGTAGCTTTGCGCGAAATTCAAAACAAACAAACAAGAAATATGCTTAAAATTTATTCATTTTAACCAATTAACTAACTTTAGTTGTTATAGTAACATAATTTTATGTGTTCATTTGTGTTCTATTAGTGTTACTTGTCATTGTTACGTATTACAATTTCAAATAGTCTGAAATTGAGTTAAATTGTAATTTAGATTTAGTAGTTAAACAAATGCCGATATATATCCAGTTTATGATATTTGCCAACAAGATTGATACACACAGTTTCTTTTTTTTTGATACAAATGTATTTTAATATACAACCAATAATACAATTTACAATAACAGTTATTACAAATAGTTATTACAAACAATGATTTATATACAAAAGCTTTACAAACTTACAAGCAGTATAAAGTCTTCTTTCTTGTCTGGAATTTCCTTG